GGGTTTGGGGTTTTGCACTGCTACCAAATCATCATATAGGTTCCTTCTGCGAATCTGAGGATTGCACTCTTTCTTCTGTTTGCATGATGTTTCAGTCACTGCAAGATTACCTCAATCACTCGACTCTTCTAGGGCAGCGGAAAGTCCGCGCCAGTGACTTGAGCGGATTGGCCGCCTTTTCCAGTACTTACACCAGCAGCACAATCACTCTTGATCTCTTCACGAACCGTGCTGTTCTTGTTTTTCTTTCTGCGGATTTGCGTACGGCGGTCTGGCTTCTACGTTCCAGCACTTCATCTAATAACTTGCAAGTAAATTATGGCTGCAGGAGCACGACAGCAAAAGGCATGGGTGGCATGACCCAGCACCTTTGTTTAAAGAGTCCACAGCAGGAAACAGAAATCACTCGCTATGTTACAAGCTACTTCCTTGGGTCAGCGCGTAGTAGACACGAATCTTGCGCCTGAAGTGATACACCATTGCTTCCCACTTTCTCTTGCTGAACTTGGCCTGCGGTATCTTCGGTGTAACTGGCGGAGACTCTATGCCCTCCACGTCCTGGAAGCCCAAATTTTTCGACTTCAGGACAGAGGATACCAGCTGATACTCGTCGGAGCGCTTGATGGCACATATGGCGAGGTGACGCTTGAGTTTCTTCTCTTCCTCTGTTAGCAGGCGCGGTTCGGTCGAGGAAGACTGCGCGGAATCCATAGCTCTTTGATGCTTAGTGTTCGACTGAGCCAAATGTTCTGTGAAGAAGGAACAGCAACGTGTTTTTATCAGACCACATAATGTCTAGTAGCTAGCCCAACAGCGGCGAGGCCTGGGTGCCGTTGATATCTTCCAGACGCAAATCGACAGCCATATCCAGTCGAGACATGCTCTCAACGCTGAAAGCGTCAACCAGCACGTTGTTCACGACGGCTGCATACTTGGGGCTGTTGCAGAAGAGAGTGTGCTCGTGCACAGCGAAGTTCGTGGCTTTGTTGCTTTGCTTGGCGATATGCGAGAAACTCACATTCAAGTATGAACAATGTGCGAGACTGCAACTAACTACTGGGCAGATTGCAGGCATGGCACGAGCCAAAGAACCATGTCGCACCATGGCTTGCAAATGTGACTCAAGGAACTGAAAAGTCGATGAGCTTCCTCGTCCAGTAAGGCCTTGCTTCAGGAATACAGGACAGGAAAATCAATCTAGAACGAGGGGTACGAGCCTTCATGCAGAGGTCCACCACCTTCTCGTAGTCTTCCCCTCCTTCTCCTTTTCCGCATTGCACAAATGGATTGCGACCGACCTGTTGCGTTTCACACTCATGTGACATGGGAACATGCAGCATTTCACAGTGTTTCGCCTCCATGCCAGCCCACGTAAGGATCAAAAGCGTCGCTGTGTAGTACGGGCCGAAAATATTCGCGCAGAAGGCCCAGCTGCACCATCGTTTCTGTTCATGTAGGGGTCTTTGTCGCCTGGCTAAAAATCGAAACTTGGATTTCAAAATTACAGGTTCAAAACCATGGTGTGCAGCCAATCTTCTTGCACACTTTGTGTAGAACAGCAACGACGCGGTCGAAGTTCAGAGAGGCGTCCTCTTCCACTTTGAACCCGTTCCTATGCTGCGAACACAGCAAGAAGAAGTTTGCGGATTGGGGCTGTCTGCTTGTCCAGTTTCTCTTCCAGTATGGCGTCCCCGAAGAGTTGTTGTAAAATGTCACCAGAAGAAGCCTGAGAGATGCTGACATTCAATGCAAGATGACGTGATAAGCACACTCTCAGGAGTGCAGCCGAATTGCCACGCTCAAATATCGGTGCCCGGCTTGCGACCAGGCCTGTCCTGTCCGGCCTGTCCGCCACGGACTCCGGCGGGCTTTCATTAACCAGCCTGTCAGCACCTGACATCCTCAGGTGTCTGCTCGTATTTGCAAGGTCTCATGGCCCATCATAGATTGAGGCCAGCAGCGTCTGACGCCAGCCGTGCAGTTGATGACTTTCAAGTAGTGGTTCTGCACTTTATGCCTCACGAGCTGCTACATGACGACAGTTTTTTTTGTTCCGACACCGCTAAAAGCCGTCTAGAAACACCTCATCGCGAGAGAAGGCGACAGGATATCCCTTGCCAGCAAGGAATTGGTAGGCAGCGTAAAGGGGACCGCCTTGGTCTGCCTGCAAGACTAAGCGCATGATGTCCGTCGAGATCTGCTCCCACTCTGCTCGTCCCGTTTCAGTGTGGCACAAGAAAGAGTACTTTCCGTAAGTCAGGCGGGCGAGCTTGTTCGAGGGATCGGCACCTTTCAAACCAACATGTGGCCTCACCAATTCCACAGACAACAAATTCGTCATGTGCACCACGGCTTGTAGATGTTCTCTGGAAGCCAGTCGTTCCTGATGCACTTTGCTGATTGTCTTGGGCCTGAGCCGTGACAGCAAAAGCGGATTGTACTTTGAACACACCACATGACTGCGTGTGAGCCGGGTCACATCTGTGCCAGAGTTGCTTGTTTGTTCCTGCTGCGATCGAAGTTGGCAGATAAATTGTCGGCTGCCTTCTGCAGTTCCTCCATTTTTGTTTCCACTGAGGCTGTGCTGCACAGCAATCACTCATTCTCTGCAGAACAAAGCTGACCATGGTGTCGTTCACCTGATTGTATCTGCGTTCGAAAGGAAAGAGAAACTGCTTTAAAATCTTGAACTAGTGGTGCACCGAGAAGCATCCGCTTTTGCTTTCGGGGAAGCATCAGAGATGATGTTTAGACTCTTGAACATGGCATTGTCCAGTTCCTGCAAAACCAAGACGCTTCTTTGACTCAGAAGACTTAGGCAACAGGGCGTCCTTCTTCAATTCCGTGGCCGATCTGCTGAAGTACCGAAAAGCGAAGTCACAGCTCAACCTGAGAAAAGTGAATCAGCAGTCATTCTTCAAGCAGCAGGCGCAGCAGGAAGAGCTTATTACTTGCAAGGCGAAGGGCCTGTGATAGTGGGCTGGACACATGTCACCCAGACCCAGATCGAACAAGCTCTGTTCGGATCCTTGTGTGTTGAAGCCACTGGATCTCGCCAGAAAGCGTTCCAACGCCATGATGTCTTTCAGCTTTGGCTGTTTCTTTAGAGCTCGGCCATCCCTTTGCTGCAAGGGCTGAAACATGTAGAGCACATTGGCGCCAGTAACACTAAGCATACAAGGGGCGTTCGCGCGGGATGGAAAGAATCAGCTTCTCCTGGCAATGGGACCTCCTTCTCTAACTGCAAAGGCAAATTCTCTTCCGCTTTCTGTGCGAGGATGTGCACGATGCGCTTCTGGATGCGAGAAGCAGAAAGTTGGTCCTGCGTAGTGGAATTTCGTATCTGTGCTCTTGTGCGCTAACACAACAGCAACGTGTGGATCCGTGTTCCTGGCAGACTTTGTCTTGGAAGGGAGCACGAAGAACGAAGAACAGCAAATCCCATGTTCGAACACCTTGGTCAATGAGATTTTACGCGACCGGTCTGACTGCATCATCCGTCGCCTGAATTCATCTTCCGCTGCGCTGCTGTCAACATAGGAAACTTCGCCCACCTGCAAAGTTGTAATGTGTCACATAACGACACTCACGACCCCCCCACATGCCTCTCCTGCCATCCCACGCAGTCAAGAAAGCGCGAAAGACTCTCCAAATCTACATCGTGGTCGACACATCTCACCTCGCCTCAGCAAAGAAGCAGAGCAAGAATCATTTTGCAAAAAGAGGCAAGCGGCAGTCTCTGGATAGTCAAGACACAAGCTGGAATGTTTGGCAGAAGAGCAAGCGTCATGTTGCCGGGGCATGCTGCCGAAATCATAGATTGGAAAAGAAGCATTGCTCCCTTCTGCAGGTCAGGCTTGCAGCCGCGAATCTGGAGCACGGAAGCTGCCTGAGCACGGTGCACTTTCGCCCCTACATGTGTGTAAGTTTAACATAATGTATGACAAGAAGCCACAAAAAGAAGTCCCACCATCGTGACGGCGTCGAAAGCAAAGCGAACTGTTTGTGCTGAGGGTGTGGACAGCTTGCCTTTGTATTTTGTATTCGGAACCACGAATGATGTGTTTCGGTATGCTGATTCTCCATTTGGCTGCAATCTCTGCCGTGATGTTGTTCTCCCTGAGAAAAAAAATCATTTACGCCGTACAACCAAAACCCAAACAGACCTACGAGCTCAAAAGAGTAGCGCATCCAAGGAGCAACTTGGAATACCAATTGAAGAAGGGTTGTTTTCTCTTCAACAAAGGCCAAAGCTGCTGTATACGGAAGAAGCAGCGGTAACCGTCTGATGAATCGGCTTCCCCAACCTGGCACAAAGACTCTTGCCCTTCATAGGATGAAACCGGCGTTTCTCGCTTGCCAGCAAGCAACCATGTGAGTCTGCAGCACACCCTTCAACCCTTCAGTTGTGCGCAGGTACATCGTCTCGTTCCGTGTGTACTTGCTGGGGCTTGCCACTTCCTGGACGGCATCCTCTGACGCTTCGTCTTGCCGTAGCACTAAGACATCCACGGCTTGCTGCTGCTGTTGCATGTGCTCGGGTAAACGTGGTCGCAAGAACAGTCCGATGGCTGCTGCTTCTGCACGATGAGCATCCAACAGAGCCTCTCAGAAGGTTGCGATTACTAGCAAGGTGCTTCCATGTCATGACCGGTAGAAACCCGCCTCCCAGTCTGACAGGGGTAGCGTGCCGTCATCGCAACGCCCCGTCGTCATTGCTCTGTCGTCAAGTAGACGAAGCTTCTTCAAGAACCTCTCTCCAAGGTTCCTCTTTTCCTCTTTGTCCGTAGTCCTTGTGTGCGTGCAGAACGCAGAAACGAAGTGGAACGCTGAAACGCAAAAACAGCAGCCTGCCTTGACATTTCCTCAATTCTCTCCTTGAGCCATTTCTCCATCCTTGGTTGCATTTTACGTTTCCACATCGTGCGGTGTACCGGCCCCGAACGGTTTGCATTCCGCATCAGGCCGTGTGTCGCCGCGACGTGGTCGCCACGTGGCGGCAGTAGATGGGCTGAAGTGGAACGCTGTCCTGATGTGGAACGCAGGCGATGTGGAACGGTCTAAAGCAGCATTTTTGCCGAGACCTATGCAAATTCACGTTTTTAGGGGGTTTTGCATTTCATGGTTCCACTTCAGCCCGTGTGCAGACGCGTCCTACTCACCACGTGGCGTGCGGAAACGCCTCCCTGCACCCACGTGTCCGTCGAAGTGGAACGCTGTTCAGCTGCGAGCCTGAGGAAGAACGACTCACGCATGTGGAACGCAGAAATGCCAAAAAGGCCTTCCAGAGCCCGGGCAACCCTCGCAATACTAAAAATGAAAGAAAACCACCAGGACAGAATTGAGACCTGAATTGGGAAGCCAGGAGACGCAGCCGGCACTGCCACCGTGCGCACCCGTGGGGCAGAAACAAAAGGTTCCGTGTCTTGGGAAATAGAAGCAAAGTCCCGACTAGCTTAGGGAGGATTGCGTGAAACCTGCCAGAAACACTCTTAGTCGATACGATGTTGCATAGAGAAACATCTCAACTCCTTGACTGCAAAACTGACAAATGCATCTTCCAGACGGAAGCAGCCGTCCTAGCTGGTGTCCTGGCTGCAAGAGTGCAGACCTTTTTTTCGTAGAGGAACAGGCTCTGTCACTGGAGGCTCTATGGATGCTGCGTCCGCGTCAAGACATCCCGGTCCCCAGCAAACACAAGTCTTGGAAGAGATGTCCTTTGCTATCTTGCTTGCCTCGAAGTCAGACATCTCCTGTTGTGGAAAACCACTGGGTCTCATTGTGTAGCTCAGGGTGGGCAAGCAAATCTCACTTCATGAGTCCTGTGCGTGATGTGCCAGGTCCAGAAGAAGACGTCTCCTGAAAGGAGCGGGTCCAAGTAGATCAGGTTACATACCGCAGTGTTGCACACACACACACAGTACTCCTTGACCGCAAGAGGCCAAGCAAGGAAGAGCTTCTTGCCCTTGATCGTGAGGTCATAAAACCATTTCTGAGCATCGGCACCCAGCATACTCGAGATGTCTCCTGCATGCATATTCCCATGGTCAGCACTGTTGTAGTCTAGATTACAGAACAACGCACAAAGCAAAAGCCTGGTTCCATATCTGCAAGATTCTCCAACGCATCGGACAGCGTCAGGATGTCTTCACTGACTAAGATGCGCATCATGCACAGCAGGTCGTTCCTTGGCTAACATGAGCGTCGCAATCATGCTTGCAACATCACAAGAGTTGGAGACTGCGAGCAAGCACTGAAAGAATCCTAGCGGAATGAGCAAAGACAAGAGTCTTGGAAGCGGATCCAGGCAGCACGGAGAGCCAATCATCACCGAGCTTGCCACGAAGAATGTCAAGCTCAGAAGCATATGCTTCTTCTGCTCTCTGCTGGTTGCTGCTGTCTTGAAAACCTGGCGGTTGTGTTGTCTCGGCGGCATGCTCTGGATCCGGTTCGGATGCTTCCTGCGCGGACGGGGGGTCATCATCATCTCGGCTGAGATCCTGCTTCTTGGGCCTCTTTGCTTTTTTTTTGGTGGAGGCTGTCTTGCGACGCCTCCGTCGTGCAGAGCTTTGCGGGGTCAACGTGGGCTTAAACTTGCCACCCAGTACATCTCCGTCCTCATCATCATCTGACTGTGTGCCTGCATCCTGGTCCGACCCCTCAGCATCCGAGTTCACCTCCTTTCCTTTCGTCTTCGGCGTTACGAACAACCGTCTGGGTGTACACTGCTCTTTTTGTCTTGTCTTCTTCTCTCTGCCACGCTTGCGAGGACTGGGTGTGTGCGCCTCCTTCTTGATCTTCATGGTACCCTCTTCTGCAAAGTCAGTAATGCGCTTGATGTCCTTCTGTGCCTCCTGCCAGCGAAGCAGAAGAAAGCATGCGTCTCACGATATATAGCACCCTATCATCGCAAGCACCTTTTTTCTATCGTAGACAGACTCGCGGACATCACGTCATTGTCAAGAAAATCTTCGCTTTGTACATGCATGCAGGCATCTGAAAGCCCGCAGCAAACTGTGGTTTCAAGCGTGATTCAAATCACGTACAGCAAGTACCATTCATGTCCACAAGTTGCAGCAACTAGCGATTGCCTCTCCATTGACCGCCACGCTGACGACTGCGACCATACATTGTCTTCTCCTCTGCACGTGAATGCCTCGAATGTGCTGCTACAAGGGTAAAAAAAACCCTAAACATAAAAAAAAAGGACCATGTAAGCAAGAAACTTTACCTGAACTTCGACATCTTCTTCCGTGTTGGCTTCCTGACGTAGAACATGTGCGGGCGGAGGTCCGGGGGGCGGCACTGGAACCTTGCTGGTCTGTCGCGTTGGCGGGGACGGCATCTTCTTCGTCTGCGGGATTAGCAGTACAGGCGGTCTGGACCCCGTTGCCTTCTTTGTCTCTGCGATACCGCTTGGCTCTACTTCATTGGGGACGAACTTGGCGAAGATTTCCAGGGTGCCATGCTCCAAGCGAAACTTGCCAACACGTCGTGCCATATGAGCATGGCTGTTCTTGCGAACGTCTGGATCCACGGCTGGCTTAGTGTCAGCAGGGGTGCTCCTCTCCTGCTGATCCCGTTGCACATTCTGGTACTGTCGCACATACTCATCATCTTTCTCAGCCATTTGTTTCCTTTTGCGTGTCAAGTCCTCTTCTTCCATCTGCAAAGGTGTTTTTTGGTCCGGCTCGGTCTTCTTGTCACCAGACGTGTTTGCAGTGGCAGGAGTAGCAGCCTCTGCTTTCTCAGCTTCAGTCTGCGTGGTAGGCGCACCCACACTGTGGCTTGCATCTGCGTGAGCTCGCAACAAGCGTTCCGTCTCCAGTTGCTGCAGTGCTTGCAGGTACACCGTCTGTGCATCCAGAGTAGAGGACGCAGCAACAGGCATGGTCTGCGTCTGCGCAAGCTTTTGTGCAAGCCATGTTTGCTGCAAAGGGGACAACATACCCGCAGCGAGCAGGGACCATGCAGGATCCTGCGACATAACTTCTGGCTGCGTTTTCCTAAAAGCAGAGAAACATGCAGCACATCCTCGTACCAAAATAGCCCGAGCAAAAGGCGTGCGTTCTGTGATGCAAAGAACATATGGTGAGGACATCTAGCCACTCGTGTCAGAAGATGGTATCTTGTTGGAATGCAAGCAAACAACTCTATCACGGGCAACAGCAAGCTCCATTTTCGAACTGGCGCAAGTGCCCCTGAGAAAACATGTCTAGTTATCCCGTCGAGCCACGTCCTTGGCTTTTGCCGGCAACAGCTCCGAAACGTCGCGGGTCCTTGTGCTTCACATAGCACGCGTGACAGCTATGCTGGTGATTGTCCTGCCCACTCACACTGAAGCACGTCGATCTACGAGAGCAGATTCCGTCATGACAGGTCATGCAAATCCCGCGTAGCACCGCTCGGGTTGCGGCTGATGGTGGCGGAGGAAGCGCATGCTGTTGTCGACGCAAATCAGCTTCTTGTCTAGCAACTGCAGCCTCCCTCTCTGCAACGGAACGTTCTCGATCAGCAACACGCTGCTCTCTGGACTCTAAGTCAGTGAGCTGCTGCTGTAGGCCGGAGATTCTGGTGGATTCATGACTCCGAAGCATGTCTTCTACACGTCCCATCATTTCACGCATCTCAGCCTCATGCTGGAAAATAAAGTTGCCAGTGGCAGAAGCAGAGGACATGGCTAGCAGTAGACATAAGAAACACGAATTGCGATATGTAGCCAAAAGCTGCAGCAAAACAATCCAGCAGACAAAGTAAAGAGCATCTCAAGAGCACTGTTCGCATGCAAATTGTGACCAAAGTGCAAAGTCCTTGCGAAACTGTTGCAGCATGGTCTCGTACTTGTCGTTCATTTCCGTGACCTTCTGCCTGGACACCCTGCAAGCAGCAAAATATGTTTCTTGCAGTCACATATTTTGAGGGTTCACATCCCGGCCTGCGGTGTTTGAGTGCTAAGCTTTTCAGCAGTTCGTGAACATCGTCCATAGACTTGGCATTGGATATGTTGATGTCACAAGGCTTCTTTCCGCAGACTCAGTTTGAAGGGTCACAGTAAGTGAGACTGTCAGGTGCAGCAATGATGGGGACAAGAAGCATAAGTGCACAAGTGATGCCAAACGAGAGCTCCACAATCTGCCAGCAGCTTTCACCTCTTTTGTTTCTTTCACAACATGGAAAGATCAAAACAATGAGACTCCAAGATGTAGAACAGTTGCAAAAGAACCGCCTTCTCCAGTGATGTCGTTTCCTTCTCGCGGTTCTTCTGCTTCTTGAATCTCGCCGCAGACTCTTTGTGGATGCTCTCCTAGTGAGAAGAAATAGTGAAAACAAGCAAACAGAAGAAATGTAGCATACGGTCAAGCCACTGATTCGCCGCCAATCTCAATGATGTCCGAAGGAAGACAAACATTGCAGATACCAGCAACGCAATATCCCAGCTGGCGTACCGAGAGATCTTCCAATCTCTGCTGCGAGCTGGCTCTGGCAAGTTGCTTCTGCGGAAGCTGCAAAATTGACATCTTGTCTACCTGAGGCGTTTCCTCCTCCGATTCTTCCTCCATGTCGCTTTCTGACATCTCTCCTGTTCCAGCTTAGCTACGTCTGAGTATGCATCAAAACACACATGCAACTCGGCAGCCAAGTGGCTGGTCTTCTTCTTGTCTCTCTTTCTCTTGCTCTTGCGACGACCAGAATCAGCGGCATCAGAGGCTCCTGTTTCGAGCAAATAACAAGGAAGAAACTACGAAACGGTGTGACCAAACAGGATGCAAAACGTGGATCCTTTGAGGGCATTCCTCATCTGCTGCGTGGCGGAATTGAGCATAAAATTGGAAGCAGCATTTGCGTCGTTCTCCAACTCAGCACCCAAGGATGCAGAACTGAGACTCCTGACAGGGAAGAGCAGGACGATTCCAAGTACGATCGTATGCTACCAACAAGCAGGGAAAACTGCTGATGCTCCAGGCGGCGAAGCCGCACACTCTGCAAGAAGTCAAGGATGAACCGCGGAGAATCCGCAGTTCGAATCTGTCTTATCACAGAGGCGGCTAGTCCGCTCAAATGTGTCCAAAGGCTCATAGGACTGTGTTGCATTGCCTGCGAATCTCTCCACCTGCTGCGCAATCCACACAAAAGATGCTATCAGTGGAATCACACGTCCTGGCTGGTTTGCCTCCAACCGGCATGCCCATGCAGCAAGGTCGGATGAATATCTCGCTCCAGAGCAAAACTCTGTAGGCACACCAGCATGGGAAGCTTTCTAAAGATGCTGATCTATGGAATTGCACATGCTGCCAGGCAGTCATATCTTCTGCGAACAGACTCAGAAAACAACAAGAGTACGCAACCCACAGAAGATGCAATAAAAGAAACATCATATTATCGTTCCAAAGAGATACGAAAATTGAACCGCAACAACCAGCCTGCTTATCACTGCGAAAACAAACATGTCATTTCTCACTGCCACAGAGTTGCTGCCGCGATTCGATCGATAGGATCATGGTAGGCTTCTGTGCAAAGAGTAGCAAAGCCCAGAGGTCGAGGGCATTCAATTACAAATTAAATTTTGCACGCAGGGCCAGGCCGTCTGCTTTCATACCCAACATAGACGCAGCGATGTCAAAACATCGTCGGTCTTGTCGCATTGGCATCTCAATCCTTGGAAAAGCAGAAACATAAAAGAAGCCCTGGATTCGAATATGAAATTTACAGAAAAGCAATCATCACAAAAAGCATGATAAACTTAAAAAATACTATAAAAACATATACAGAAATTAAGGAAATATACCAAGATATTTCCTTAATTTATAAGAAAAGGAATGCGAGCACCAGATCTCAGTGTGTGTGTATATATCCAGATTTAAAGAAAAGACGACAAACAATATGTTCACACCCGTTGATCAGGAGATATCATAAAAATCTCATAGGTCATGGACCGACAAAAAAAACATGTCTGCTACGGCATCCAGCGCAAGCATCGTCAATGTCCTCCCATGCATCCTCTGCATCGCTGCCATCCTGCTGAAAACACAACAATGTTTTGAGTATACAAAACAGTAAATTTGCGCTCAGTGAAATTGGTTTGGGAACAAGATGCAGTTGCAGTGGCTTGGCGTTCAGCAAGGGGTCAGGTTTGCAACATGTGTGGTCCTGATCTCGAAGAGCAATGACCGGCACAGGCGGCATGAGGGCAGCCGGCAAACGTGGAGGATACAAATTAGCCACCTAAATCATAAGCCGGGAATTCAAAGGAGACCCACACGTAGCCAGAAATAATTGCGGGCCAAGCCACAAGGATCTGAGGCGCCATAAGCCGACGTCGAACATTGGGTGGCTCCAGATCAATGGCCTCCTCGTGCGAAAATCGAAAGTCAAGATCCTCAGTTCGGACAACAATTGACAATTACTGTTCAACTACTGACTGGCAGAATTTCCAAATCTTCTGTTCTGCGTTGCAATTGAGATACCTGAGTGATGAGGACATGTACAATGTACTCTGCGTGCTGATACAAGGAGTTGTACAAATCCCACGGACGAAGATCACGACGGAGGGCCATCAGAGAACCAACCTGAAACCGAGAGGTCGCTAAGCATCTATTCATAGTAGCTCTACAACTGAACACTGTGCGATCGAGAAGCAGCATAGCCGAACGATCTTGTGTAGGCCTGCGAACATTTCATCTTTGCGTTTCCGCGCCAATACCTGCCCTCGCGATTGGTCAAAACTTCTTTTGCCAGGCGACAAAACCTCGGAAAATACTGGCTAATATCCTCAAAACAGAAACTGGTCGAAGACTGTTCATAAGCAATACGTCGAGAAACGAAGAAGTCAAGCGAGGATGCTTGGCCAGGTATTGGATCATCCGAAGAAGATAGCAGTCGCTGCCGTGCAACTGCGTGGGCTTCCTCGATTCTTGTTGAAAGAAGATGCAACTTAAGAAAAAATGACCGCCATAGATTGTGGACTAGAATCTTGGACACAGCACCGAAGCTGCCCATGCAAAAGGAAACACGGCGCGAGCCCAGCAACTGGATGGCTGCCTCGAAATTTAAAAAAAAGGTAAACCAAAAACAAACAGATGGTGCTTCAGCAAACAACTGCCTGGATGGAAGGGTACCTCGGCATGACTGATCCAGTAGGCTGTTCCCAGATATCGTAGATTCTGGCATTCCGGCAAAATATCTGGCACGCGGCTTCGAAATCCTGACATTAAAGCCCTGTTTGTGTAACTTTGCTGCAATCACTCCTCTCATTGCTAGCAAGCAGCAGCTATTGCGTTGCCAATCGCAACACATCGCTTGGTCTGATCGCCGTTGATATCCACATGGCGTTGCCTAATACAGCAGCAGTAAAGGCAGCTTCAAGCAAACCATGAACATATATACAAACATGGTAAACTACGGTTGAAACCAGGGCGCGTTGTTCCAAAACAGCAAGGCACGAAACTTGAGCACACAGGGGCACTGAATCGTACTCCGCCAATACGAACGCGAACCAGTTTGTCTAAGCCTCTAGTCACAGCGCAAAACAAGTAGCTTCAAGATTCTTCGAGTTTATCGATCATATATCAGACAAGTAGCATCTCACCTGACCCAGTTCTGTGGTGATATCATCAAACGGGCTGTTCCGAAGATCGTAGTTGGCACAGACGAACCCCATCTGGGTCCACAAGGAATGCAATTCGATGATGCAAGACTCTTGCACGCGCAAGCTCACTCAAACAGTTTGCAGACAAGAAACTGCCTCCACTCCACGTGTGAGGTGTGCTTCGCCCGAAAACATCTCATAGAAGTCAAGAAATCTGTGGGGTGACTGCTCTTGCATGTATGATGGGTGCTCAATGAAATCAAAGTTCGCCAGAAGCAATCGTCGGAAATTCTCCGGAAGGCCGGCCAAGGAAACCATGTTGTGAAAAAGTTGGAGCACTCAAGGACCCCTTCTACTCGAAACAAAGCAGCAAACAGATGAATTGACCCGATTCACGTGAC